GGAGCATGCCTACCATAATACTCTCCCCCGCGATCAGACCGTACAACTTTTATTTTTGCATTCAGTTGATTTTCAACCTCCGCTTTATAGACTTTGAATTTCTCCAAAGCTTCCGATCGGTCACGTATGGGATAAATATACCCATAGCGGGAAAAGTCATCTGTGAATGTAATGAACGAATCAAAACCATCTACAGACTTAACATTAAGGGGTCCACATATGTCGGTGTGAATTAATTCTAAAACCCTTGTGGCTCTAACTGCTCCTTTCTTAATTGTTTTTGCAATTTTTCCTTTAATGCAGTCGACACATTTGTCTGCATCTGAGAAGTCTAATGGGAGGAGTATTTCATTTTTAACTAAGCGTTCCATTCTCCCCCTCGAAATGTGGCCCAAACGACAATGCCACAATTTCGAAGAATTACTTACTCCTTTCCATTTCTTCTCAACATTAATTGCATCACTCACATGCATAACTGAATCATTATTAAGAGATAACATGTATAGTTGGCCTCGTCTAACACCGATGCCTACATTCTTATTACATTTGATCAAAGCAAATTGTTTCTTGCCAAAATGGCACTCATACATATCATCATCTAAACGAGAAACTGAAATCAAATTCCTACTTAAGGTAGGCACATAAATAACATTATTCAATCTAAGAGTGTGGCCAGTGTGTAGCTCCAACGTGAGAGATCCCACAGCTTCAACATCGGCCTCAACTCCGTTCGCAACCTTAAGTTTTCTTGTTCCTCCTCTTATGGTTTGGATCGTATCGAATCCCTGCATAGAGTTAGCAACGTGAGTGGTTGCCCCTGAATCAATCCACCATGACTTTATTGAAAAATCAACATAAAGTGATTCATCTACAAAAGTAATTTCATCAATACCTCTTTTGTTCATCCATTTTAGAAAGCCTGGGCAGTCCCTTTGATAGTGTCCCTCTTCTTTGCAGAAGTTACAAGCATTTTCTCCAGCAGTGGAGCTGCTAGGAGCAGAAGAAGAACCACCGGCTTCTTTACCCTTGAATGCCTTAGGGTTGAATGGCTTAGTGCCTTCTTTCTTGACTTGCCTTTTCTGAGGCTTAGGGAAACCTTGTCCGTCATGCTTTCTCTTGTTAGAGCCAACATGAAAGACATGGTCTTTCTTCTGCCTCATGATCCTTTCTTCCTCCTAGACGATCCTTGCGGTCATCTCAGAGAGTGGCCATTTTTCCTTTAGAGAGTTATAGTTGACCTTAAATTGTTCAAACTCTTCAGGAAGAGACTCAAGAATAATTATGACAAGAAGGGCTTCACTTAAAGAACACTCCAAAGCCTTAAGCTTGGTGAAAGCATTTACCACCCTCAATATGTGCTGCCTAACATTTCCGTCAATAGTGTATTTCTGAAGAAGTTTAGCAAAAAGCTCATGAGCATACACTTTGTCGGAGCCTTTAAATTGCTCCTCCATTTCAGTGAGGAAATCTTTAGCAGTATCTTTCTTAGGGAGTGCTTCAGAAATGTCCGGCGATATTGTCGCTTTCATGATGAGAAGCGCAATATGGTTGGACTTATTCCACTTTTCCATCTTAACATCATACTCCTTCTTGAGTTCTGCATACCCTGTGACACCTGCCACAGGTGCCACAGGTTTTTCTTCCCTCAAGGCATAGTCAAATTCATTACAACCCAAACATAATTCGACTTGGGACTTCCAACGAGGGAAGTTACTCCCCGTAAGTGGTTCGATCGTGTCGGACCGGAATGGAGCGGAAGCTGAAATCATCATAAAAGTTCATAAGTAAACTTGCATGATTATAAATTTACGTGGGTAAATAAACAAACATGCCAAGTATTTAATTTCAACTCCATGTCAAAACACCGTTGGGCAGAAAAAACATGGAATGAAAATATCACAGGGGATGACTCGTAATAATAAAACAACGTTGGTCCGAATTAAAATTAGAGTCATTTCATTCTTAATTTAAACATCAACATAAAAGAAAATATCATTATTTTTGATGTCTAAAAATGCATCATGCAAAACACATAATAAATCCTGAATAAAAAATCTCGTTGGTTCAATTTTACCCAGAATAATAATGTGTTCATTTTATTTTTAGGCATTTTCTGGTTTAAACAGTGCAAATCAGAATATTTATGAACTTAAACACACTGGAAAAAACTGAAAATCGCGACAGTAATTTTGGCCCGAAATACCCCATAGCTACACGTAAATCGGTCCAGCCCAGCAGCAAATCGTAAAGAAAAAAAAACGCGCTGGGCTAAGGCAACCTGGGCCGAAGCCCGTGACCGAAAATGGCCCATTAATGCCCGAAGGCCCGAGCCGGTGCTCCGCGTCGCTGAGAGCCGCTCGATCGAATCTGACGGCCAGCGCGGCTTGGAGCCCGAACAAAAGTGCCGACCGGCCTAACCCTAGTTATTTTCTCCCCCCTCCCCCGCATTTCTCGCTCGCGAAGAGAGCGGCGGTGCCACGGCCGCTCGAGGCGCGCCGGCCATGGCGGCGCGGCGGCTGCGCTCGCCGGAGGAGCGTGCAGCAGGATGAATCCCGCGCGCTCCCCCATCGAGCGTTGCCCCGGCGTCCGTGCACATGGCGCATCAAGGAGGGAGGAGGGACGCCGGGCACCGCGGCATGAGGAGCGACGGCGACTTGCTCGGCGTCGGCCAAGACAAGGGCGCGTCCATTCGAGCGGAAACGGCGGCGGCTCAACTGCGTCCCGCGCGTCGTCCCGAGGACGGCGGCGTCGCGGCGTCTTCGCCCTCGCGCAACGGTGGGCGCTGCGCGGGCCCCGAAGGGAAGAGGCGAGTACGCGGCGCGTTAGGTGAGGATTCTCCTCATTCTTTGCAAATTCGTGTACATCAGTGCTTGATTGGATTAAAAACAGCCCTAATTAAAGAATTAGGTGGCTACCGAAATTGGGGATTTTCCTAGGGTTCTTCAACATGGGATTTTGCTACTGTATGTGTGCTATGTATCCCTCTGCCTTCTAATTTGATAATCCAAACGGAAACAGATACTTAAAAGAGGATCAAGTTAAATTAACAGAAACTTAATCATGAGCATTAATTCTTTAGAGGCTTAATTAAAAATGATTAAGCATAATGGCAGTGGAGATCCGTGGCAAATTAGAATACAACATGAGGGCATTAAGACAGTAGCATGCATATTTGGGCTAACCAGGGGTAAAACTTTCAATCTTGATCATAAACCCTAAACATGTCATTGATCTAAACATGATAGTGATCTACTGATCAACAATAAAGGAATCTATTGCAATCAAGATTGGCGATCTGATACCATTGTTGGATAAATTATGCATCTCTGGGATGCCATTAGCAGAAACAGATTGCATCTAGATCACCTAAAACATGAACAGAGAAGGGTTTAGGGTTTCTTTACATGTCACGGGAGTGGACATGATCGCCTGCTCGGTGCAGGCGTGATGCAGGGGTGATGTAGTCGAAGTAGATGCAGGGGTGATGTAGTCGAAGTAGATGTTCTCCTCGACGTCCTGATTCCTTCAGGACGCCACCGGCACTGCCCAGGGACAGCGGCGGCGGCTGGCTTAGGTCTTCCCGTCGCTGCAGCACTCCCCCTGATCGGATGGGGTGAGAGAATATCGGGAGGAGAGTAAACCTTACGTGAATTGTGATCTCGCAGGTGCCCAGCTCTCTCCCGTATCCCTTTTAATATGGCGCTGGCGACAGGGGACCCAAAACCTGAGTTGGTTTTTGGGCGCCCCCGATCAGGGCGCGTTAGTTCTGATCGAGGCTCACGTACGTTGGTACGTGGACCCCTTCACTTATCGTTATCCCTTTATCCCTTTTTTTTTCTGTTAGACTAATAGATCTAACTGCCTGTTTAAGCCGTCAGATCAAAACCAACAGATTCGTGTTAGGTGCCGGAGGTCGCGGGAAGCGCGGATCTCATGAGGCCTCTACTGATCTCAATGCCGTTGGCTAGAAAAGTCTTTTCATCGTGCGCCCACACAGGTGCCGGGCTTCCCATGCAACCCTTCACATCGTCTTGATATTTTCATCTCGTCCTCCTCCCGAGTTTTGTTGCTTTTCCTCGTCGTTGTCTTGCCCGGCACAGATTAGGTTTTATTCTCCACATATGCTGCTCCCCCGCCTCCGCCAGACCAAGCCCTTCCCTCCTGTTTCCTAAGCCGATCCTCCTAGTCCGATGGATCCACATCTGGTGCTCCCCTGCCTCCGCTTGATCCACCCCTTCCATTCTCTTTCTCGCGCTAATCCTCGTCAACGGCTCAACAACTACTGCTCCATCGCCTCCGCCGGATCCAGCCTTCGCTTCTCTTTTTGGAGCCGATATTTATTGCAGGGAAGGCCACGATGGATGTGAAGTTTGACTCCAACTAAAGTCTCATGTCTCATGTGTACGAAAGAAACCCAAGAGGATGGACGTCTGTTCAACCGAAGAGAAAAAACGTGAAGAGACTTTTCCTTCTTTTGACAAGAACGCTGGTTATGTTGGCAATATACACGAGGCTCACTTCCTTGTTCAATCCCTGGTTCTAGCATGAATCAGTTCCAACGTGGCCCGAGATGATTTTGGTTTTTACCAAAACCTATTGTAGTTCGTGTGCATCGGGGCCAATTTCTAATATGTGACCAGAAAAAAAAGTTAAACGATATTTTTTTTAAAAATCTCAGCCGTCAATCTTTATGGTAACGGTGGATATAAGGGGTGACGTATGGAGAATTATGAAAGGTTCCTCCTTTTAATATTAGGTATAGATATAGATTTTCAAATGTAAATGAATTTCATTTTGCAAGGTGTGGGTTTCTGTGGACCCCTTGCTTTCCAATTTGGTCCAGCTGTGACTCTTATGACTAGCCCGTTAATCGAAGCATCGACGGCCCAGCCTGCTAATGCAGAAGGAAAGAAATTCCCAGCCTCACTCCCGTCGGTTTCACGGAATCCCGGTTTCACTCCCCTTCCTCTAGCTCGCCGCCGCCGCCGCTTTCTTCCGCCATGGCCGACCGCACTCCATCTCCTTTCAGGTACAGTGAGCATCACCATCAACATCGAACATAGCATCCATTCCTCCGATCAATGTTGGGGATATCGCTTATCAGGAACTTATCGGTCGACCCAAGATAAGGGGTAAATCGGCTAATTTATCGGCATATTGGCTGATTTATCGCCATATCGGCTAATTTATCGGTCGATTTATCTTATCGATCAGACAGCGGTAAGCGATAAATCGGCCGATTTATCGGAATATCAGAAGATATCTTGAATAGTGCCTCCGATCCCGTGAGCTCTCCTGGATCCGTGTTTCCGCAGGTCTTCCCCTTCTCGCCACAGCAAGTGCAGGACGGCGGCCGAGAGACTCACCGACGACCTCCTCGTGGAGATCCTCTCGCGCGTCCCGGCCAAGTCGCTCTGCCGCTTCAAGTGCGTCTCCAACCACTGGCTGAGCCTCATCCACCACCCCGACCACCGCAAAAAGCTCCCCCAAACCCTCGCCGGCTTCTTCCACGGTAGCAGCAACTTCGAGGATTGGTTTCTGGAATCACCTGTCCTCTTCACCAGCATATCGCCTTCCCCTCCCATGGACACATCATTCGCCTTCCTGCCCAACACCAGCAGTTGGATCTGTTGGACAGCTGCAACGGTCTCCTCCTCTGCCGCTTGTATGACGTCTCGGGTGAGGTTGGCAAGCGCCATTTTGATGTGGTGTGCAATCCTGCCACGGAGAAGTGGGTCCTGTTGCCGGACTCTGGCCAGGACAGCGTCAACTGCAGCACACGTTTGGGCTTCAACCCAACTCTGTCTTCGCATTTCCATGTGTTTGAGTTGGTGGAGGAGCATGATAACTTCATTTCCGGAGTGGCTGGAGTGGCAGTGTATTCGTCGGAAACCGGAGTTTGGGTTTATAAGGAAAACAGATGGAACGAACGTATCTTACTTACTGAACTTCAGTCATCGTTTGTCTTTCTTAACGGCTATCTGCATTTTGAAGTCGATGGCCGTGACTTTTCCCGTTATCTAGCTGTGGTGGACACGGCCGGGGAAACATGGATGAACTTCAGTGTCCCTGGTGGTCTGGTTAACGGCTTTATTCAACATTCACAGGGCCGCTTGCATTATGTCAATTTTCAGATGGATGAAGATGGTGGTGTCAATCAACTTGTAGTTTATGTTCTTGAGAACTAGCAAAGCAAAGAATGGACATTGAAGCATAGCGTTGAAACTTCATACATACTTGGAACGGCAGATTACTGCATTTATTGGTTTGATTGGATTGCCGTTCATCCGGAATGCAACTTGATATTCTTCACCCTTGTGCGGGATCTCAAACTCATGTGCTATAATATGGATTGTCGGCAAGTCAAAGTAATCTGCAATCTGGAAGGTGTGGAGCCGCCATATCTACCATATGTGCCGTTGTATGCTGAGTTAGAGGCATTGTGCATTTGACATCAGTTGTCATTCATATTTTGGTTGCTTTATGTTGTCTGCACTTGTTTCTGTATACTACCAGTGGTTCTGTTCACTGCTACCTCCATGTGCTCGGTTAACTTTGCAAAATGTTTCAGCAAAGCTAATAAGATCATTTAGTGAAGGACTTATCAGCCATCATCATGCAGCTTAAACTTATGTCTTCTGTTTGCAGTCGGGGGAATTAGATCATTAGAAGCATGTTGCTGACAGAGACCTAGTAAAACTATTGCTCGTCTATTAATACGATAATTTGTGGGACCATATCTTTCTTGTTAAATGCTAATTACATGTGGCCTATTTTAAGTCGAAAAAGGTGTTAGCAGAACAAAAGCAATCATAATGTACACAATTGTTCTGCCAACTGTTGGTCAGAAATCCTGCTTGTTCGTCGGTACATTTATTCATGTAGGTGGGTTAAAATAGTCTATGCACTGCCCTTCAAATGCTACTCCTGCAGTCCTACTGATAGTTACATGATGTCTGTAAAGTTGCACGCACAATCCAGCCCAGTGCAGCGTTGTTTCTGAATTCTGTTTTTTGACGTGACTGTGGCTGTCATGGCTCTGGTTTTAGCTTCAGTTACCACACAGTTTAACTGGGTAAGCCTGCATTCTTGTGTGGCCACATGATCAGTGGGGTGCCCCTTTTCCTCAGTTTCCTCCCTATTTCTTGATATTGAACAATGCACTCTAGATTTTAGCTGAACTGTTAACTTATGGGAAAACTTTGTTTTTGCCACTCTAGTTTTTTGCCAACTTTGCTTATGCCACTCTAGAATTTGACATTTCACTTTTGCCACTCTTAACTTTTGACAATATATCACTTTTGCCATTCCGTGGTAAAAGCAAAAAAATTAGAGTGGCAATTGAGATACATGTCAATAGCTAAGAGTAGCAAAAGTGAAATGACAAATTATCGTTTTTGCTATGGAATGGCATTTGTGATGTATTGTCAAAAGTTAAGAGTGGCAAAAATGAGATGTCAAAATCTAAAGTGGTATAAGCAAAGTTGGCAAAAACTAAAGTGGCAAAAACAAAGTTTCCCCTTAACTTATAAGGCTTCAATTCTAACTAGAAAGAACTTTCCTCAGGGATACTTACATTGTCTTCCGCTATTCAGGGCTGCACTTAATTATTTGCCTTTTTGGACTCATGGTTTTAACTATAATTGTTCTACCATGAACATTTTCTTCTACTAGCGTTCCAACAGTAAGTGTCATGTAGCTGTTGTATGCATCTAAATCATTGAGAGCTATATGTTATAGAAGATGTGTCCCAATCACTATGTTTCCACGACAATAATGATTGTTGTGAGTGTTTATGTTATGACCGGTTTAGCTTATAACCGGAGAAGGCCCACTGGGCATTAGTTAGGGGCTTGGCCCACAAGTTATCTTAGGATTAATTCTTATGCAAGTTATTTAGGTTATAAATATAAGCTGTAAGACTCTTTGAGAAGGAAGCAATAAAGATATTATCATCTTCTGTTGCCCGGCTCCCTGAGGAGCCGGAACCCTAGCCGCCACCAGCCAACCGCCGCCGCACCCTAACCCTAGCCGCGACGGCGCCCACTCGCCGGCGCGCGCGCTCCAGCCCTCGTCCTTCCCCACCTTGTCCCTATAATCTGTGTAGCCACACCGGTAGGAACCCTAGTCCTACCAATTTGGTAATCAGAGACCACGTTGCGATCATGTCGCTGCCGCCATCACCGCCGCCGCTGCCTGTCGGTACCACCGCGCCCATGACGACGACGCCGATCATCACCGCGCCGACCACATCCGCCGGGACCTCGCTGGCATGTCCCGTCTCTTCCTCGGTGCCGCCTGCACCGCCGTCCCCGGGCGCATCTGCACCATCGCCGGTGGCCTCCTTGTCTCCGAAGCAACTCGCTGCCACGCTACATCACCTCGTCACCGCCGTCCACGGTCTTCAGCTCCAACAGCAATATGGGGCCGGGGCCTACGCTCACCCGTCGTCGGCCCCGATCGCCGCCCCTGGCCTTCTCCTACAACAGCAGCCGCAGTACGGGGGCGGGGCGGGCCCCTTTGCGCCGTACCAGGGCGCGCCCATGCTCGGCGGGTCCCCGTTCTGGCTGACCCAGGCGGGCTTGGCATCCGGGCCAGCGCCGGCCGCGGCGCCCCTCTGGCCTGTGCCGCCGGCAGCCTCGGCCGCCTCCTGGTTGCAGCAGCCGTAGTCCACCGCATGGTTGTTGCAGCAGTCGCCGTCCACCGCATGGCCGGTCCAGCAGCCGCCGCCGACGGCGTCCCAGGGCCTGCTTCCACCGCCGTTCTCCGCGCCATCATCCTCCGGGACCAGCTCGGGCGCGGCCTCGACTACCGGGTTACCGATCCATCAGGTCCGATTTCCCCCGTCCCCGTCCCCCCTGCTAGCGTGGGTGACGGGGTCTTCGCCTCCGCCGGTCTACACCATGGCCCCGGTTGAGCCGACTCCGTTCCCGCAATTCAGCGGGCCATCCGGTCCCGCCAGCCAGTACCCGGACTACTCCGACCAGGCACCCCCCGCTTCACTGTTCCGAGCCTCCGAGCCTGCTCGGCACGGCGGGCCGCAGCCGACACCGCCGCGGTTCGCCAAACTCGACTTCGCCACCTATGACGGCACGGAGGATCCCCTTAACTGGCTCAACCAGTGTGAGCAGTTCTTTCGCCGGCAGCGCACCCTCGCGTCGGAGCGGACGTGGCTCGCGTCTTACCACCTCCGTGGCGTGGCCCAGACCTGGTACTACGCCCTCGAGCAGGACGAGGGCGCCATGCCTGCGTGGGAGCGTTTCCGCGAGCTCTGTCTCCTTCGCTTCGGGCCTCCGGTTCGTGGGAGCCGCCTGACGGCGCTCGGTCGCCTCCCCTTCACCTCCACAGTGCAGGACTTTGTCGACCATTTTCAGGCCCTGGCCTGCCACGCGACGGGCATTACGGCCCAGCAGCGGGCCGACCTCTTCGTTGGTGGCCTTCCGGACCACATCCGCGTCGACGTGGAGCTCCGTGGACCTCAGGATCTCCAGGAGGCCATGTACTACGCCCGCGCCTTCGCGAGTCGGGCCCGGCGCCCGGCTGTCCACCTCAGGCCGCGCTGGCACCCCCAGCCACGACATGGCCCTTCCGTCGTCTTTCTCCCACGGAGCAGATGGAGCGGCGCCGCCAAGGCCTCTGCTTTAACTGCGATGAGCCCTACACGCCGACACATGTCTATCCGCGCCTCTTCTACTTGGAGACGGTCGACTACACCGAGGAGGACGCCTCGATCGACGAGACCCCACCACCTGCGGCGGCTGCGGACACCTCCGCGGATCCCACGACGACGGCCTTCGTCGTCTCCCTCCACGCCCTCGCTGGCATCCGTGACGAGTGGACCATGTTGTTGCTGGTGCTCATACAGGGCAAGAAGCTCGTGGCCTTGGTGGATATCGGCTCCACCCATAACTTCCTGCCCGCGGCGACCATGCGTCGTCTAGCACTTCCGTCGACAGGCGGGGAGCGCCTGCGGGTCACCATGGCGAACGGCGATCGCCTCCAGTGTCATGGGCTAGCACGCAACATTTCCATCTCCATCGGCAGCGAAAACTTCTCCATTACCTGTGCCGGGATTGACCTGGGCTACTTCGACTTCATCCTTGGCGTGGATTTTCTACGGACCCTCGGTCCCATCCTTTGGGACTTCGACGTCCTGACGATGACGTTCTGGCGGATGGACCGCCGTATCCGGTGGGACGGCCTTGGGAGCACCGCGCCAGCCGCGCCCCAGCTCCAGCTGGCCACTGCGTCCGCGGAGGCCGACCACCCCCTCCTGGATTCTCTTCTGGAGCAGCACCACGACATCTTCGATGAGTCGCGGGGCCTCCCGCCCGCCCAGGTGTACGACCATTGGATCCACCTCTTGCCGGGCTCCACCCTGGTGGCGGTTCGGCCTTACCGCTAACCTCAACTGCAGAAGGAAGAGTTGGAGCGCCAGTGTGCACTCATGTTGGCTGCCGGCATTATCCGGATATCCACATCGCCCTTCACCGCGCCGATGCTCCTAGTCCG